CCGGGGCCGGACACCGGGGCCGGACACCGGGGCCGGACACCGGGGCCGGACACCGGGGCCGGACACCGGGGCCGGACACCGGGGCCGGACACCGGGGCCGGACACGGAAACGCCGCGGAGCTGGAGGCGGGGGCGGGGCCAATAAACACGCGAAGCCCCGCCCACCTGCTCTGTTTGTGCGCGCGCATCCGCCAGGGGGCGCGCGGGGCGAGGAGCGCCGGAGGGCGAGACCCGGCAGGGCCAATGGGCCGGAGGGAGGGGCGGGGCGGAGGGGTCGCGGGGCCAATAGTGTGTCTTGGCGCGCGCAGGCGCGAAGCGGAGACTGGTGCCGGGGACCATGAGCGGCAGCGCCGATCCCGATCCCGCGCCCGCGGCCCCGGCGGCGCCGCCAGGCCCCGCCGAGGGCAGCAAGCCCAGCCCGGCCGCTGTGGGCAGCGCCGGGCCCGGAGTGGCGCCAGCTGCGGGGGGCGGCGCGGCGCGGGCCACCGAGGGCTGTGCGGCCGGCGGGAGGGGGCCCGGTGAGTCGAGATGGGGGACGGCGGGGGATGGGCCCCGCGCACGGGAGCCCCGCGGGACGCTCTGGCCGGGGGGCGGCGTCCGGTAACTGCGGATGTCTCGGGGTCCTGCTGAGCATGCTGTCCCCCATTGCCAGTGTCGGCGGGGCGCGGGCGTGCGGGGTTCCGAGCGCTGATCGTGCTGTCCCGCAGTGCCGGTGTCCGCGGCCGTGGCCGCCCCCCCGGACGGGGCCATGTCCAACGGCGTGTACGTGCCGCCCGCGGCCAACGGAGACGTGAAGCCCGTGGTGTCCACCACGCCGCTCGTGGACTTCCTCATGCAGCTGGAGGACTACACGCCCACGGTACCGACACACAGGGCGGCTCCTGTGGGACGGGACGGGACGGGACACGGGGCAGGTCCCACGGTACTGGGATACGGGGCGGCTCCTGTGCGACGGGATACAGGATATGGAAACGCTCCCACGAGGCCGTGGAGCTGTTCCACCTCTTCCCTTCCCAGATCCCGGATGCCGTCACAGGGTATTACCTGAACCGGGCAGGGTTTGAGGCCTCGGACCCCCGCATGTGAGTGGCCACAGGATGGGCGGGAGTAGCAGGAACCCCGTGGGGGTCCGGCAGAGGGGCCCATGGACCTCTGTCCCCTCGCTGACACGGTCCCTGTCCCGCAGAATCCGCCTGATCTCGCTGGCGGCACAGAAGTTCATCTCAGACATCGCCAACGATGCGCTACAGCACTGCAAAATGAAGGGCACGGCCTCGGGCAGCTCCCGCAGCAAGAGCAAGGTGACAGCACTGCCGGAACTGGGGAACCTCCTTTGGGGATGGGGCTGAGCCTGCAGCCACGGAATGCAGGAACAAGGGGTGCAGAAATCCCAAAACCTGCCAGGCTTACGGTGGGGCCCTGCAGGTGGGTAGGTGCTGGCGGGGACATGAGGGGGGCACTGAGTTTGTGGACACACTTTGGTGCCCCCCCCCATCCCAGCAGTGGATGCAGCTCTGGCCTTGAGGAGGAGCTGGAGTGGAGGATCTTGGGGACCCCCTCCTGGTGTATCAGGAGTTCAGGGGCTCTGCAAAGCCAATGGGATTTGGTACTAGGTGTCTGGGGATGTTTGAGGGCACAGAGCAACAAAATGTGGGGAGCTGGGAATGCCCTGATGTTGCCCAGCAACTCCTCTGGGACCAGGACACACCTGCCCTTGCACCTTGGGGCATCCCACCCCATGGTCCCTGCTGTTACCGCCTGCCCTGTGTCCCCCAGGACAAGAAGTACACGCTGACCATGGAGGACCTGACACCAGCGCTGGCGGAGTACGGCATCAATGTGAAGAAGCCGCATTACTTCACGTAGAGCACAGGGCAGTTTGGGTAGTTTGTAGGGGCCATTTCGGTGCCATTAAACACCTAGTAGGGTTTTGTGGGAAGGCAGTGTTATTCCTGTGCCTGTGTCCACAAATGCTGGTCCTGGTCCTCCATATGCTCCCCCTCCTCTGCCAGTCACAGGCAGCTCAGTGCTCCCAACAGTGCTGGAACAGAGTGGGGTTCGGGGGACAGGAACTACCCAGCACTCTTCCTCCTTCTCCTTCCCTAAACTGCCTCTTGTCTCCCACAGGGAATACCCTGGGGGCTGCACAGGCAGTGCTACAAATGGAGCCAGGGATGAGACCCCGAGTCCACCCCTCCTGCACCAGGCATCTCCTGAGGGGGCCCTGTGCCCATCTGCCTGCACTGAGCATCAGAGGGTTGCTGCGGTGGGTGACTTGTGCCCAGGGCTCTGTGGGCTGCAAGGCAGCCCCATATCAATTCAGCCTCACCCTCAGTCCTAGACATCCCCTGCGAATCCCAGCCCCCCAGTCACTCCAGCCCTCCACCCCCAACCAACTCCCCCCACTCCCCCACCCTGTACCCCAGCAGTTGGTTCCATACCAAATGTTTATTTGGTTGCCAGCGGCCATTCTGGGGACAGAGGGAAGTGGCCAGTGAAGCGCGAAGCAGGGGCAGTGCTGGGCACCACAGGTGGCCTCTCCTGGCCTTCCCCTTCCCCCCCAGCCTTGGGGAGCTGAGTCCTGTGTTGGGCTTTGCCCAGCAAGGGGGACAGGGGTCCCCACAGCCCCATCCCCCAGCAGAAGGGCCAGGCCACACACCATGCCCTGGGTAGGGGGGCTGCACTGGATTGGGGGCTGCCCAGAAGCTGGGTTAGGGCTACCCTGGTGAGGGGCTGCCCTGGGTGGGGGTCCAGAGCCTGCAGAGCTCCAGCACAGGCAGTGCCATCTGTACCGTGTGTCCATGGCTGGCTCAGGGTGAGGGGTATCCTCTGCTCCCCCCGGCTCTAGGGCTAAAGGCACTTGGGGGTGGTGGGGGGCGTAAGGCAGCACTGGAATGGGGAGGCACCTCCCCTCTACTTCTCCTGCATCTTCTCCAGGATGGGCACGATCATGTCGAACTTGGGGCGCTTGGCTGGGTCCTCGTTCATGCAGATCTTCATCAGTTTGCAGATGTGGGGGGAGATGCCAGGGGGGATGGTGGGACGTAGCCCCTCCAGTGCTACCTGCAAGCAGGAAGAGGAGCCAGAGTTAGGATTGGGACCCTGCCCCCACAGGCAGGGACACCTTCTACCTGCCCAGGTGCTTCCACACCCTCTCCAACCTGGCCTTAAACACTTCCAGGTATGGAGCAGCCAAAGTCCTCTGGGCAACCTCTGCCGGGGCCTCACCACCCTCAAAGGCCAGAACTTCTCCCTAAACTCTGACCCAAATCAGTTCCTTTGCCCCTCCACGCCCTCACCTTCATACCAATCTCCATGTTGGACAGGTCAGCGAAGGGCACCTCACGTGTCACCAGCTCCCACAGCAGCACTGCGAAGCTCCACATGTCAGCTGAGCGCCGGTTGATCTCCTCTGGTTTCTTCTGCAGGGCTGGGGGATGGCTGGGGGCTGAGTGGGGCTGGGGGTGAGGGGGCCAGTCTGGGGGATCTGGGAGCTGGGCACTCACCTTCAGGAGCCACCCAGGCCGGGGCATACATCCGCCCTGGGCACTGGAAGGAGAACTTTACATCGGCCATGCTGATTCTTGCAGTCATGTCCTCGTCAATCTGGGGAGAGCAGGCAGTCAGCAGGAACCGCCCTGCCCTGAGAGCCCCCTGCCTTGTGAGGGGGGCTGCGTCCCCACTCACCATAACGCTGCGGCTGTTGAGGTGGTGGCGCGGGATGAGGGGCTCCAGCGTGTGCAGGAAGGCCATGCCCCGTGCAATATCGAAGGCAAACTTCACCGCCTGCATCTGGTCCACCACAAAATCTGGGAAGGGGGTGACAGGGGATCAACCCACCCTAAGCCCAGCCAGGGCTGTGGCTGGAGAGGCCCCTGCTGCCCCCAGACACACCATGCCCCAGCACTCACTGGTCCCCTCGTGCAGGACGTTGTACAGGGAACCGTAGGGCATCCAGTGGCTGATGACAATGGGGTGGGGAGCTGGAGGGGCCTGGCAGGCACCCAGCACCGGCAGCACGTTGGGGTGGGAAAAGATCCTGCAAGAGAAATGACAGCCCTAAAAACAGGGAGGGGCTGCCTGCACCCCTTCGTCTGCCCTTTGCCATTCCCCAGGGCCTCCCAGCCCTTGGCCACCACCCTGGCCCCACAGATCTGGGAGTTTCTTGCCTGCCCCGTACTCTGAGAGCTGCTGTTGCCATGAGAAGGTACTGGGTGGCCCCAGTCAAATGCTGGTGGGGATCCCAGGCACATGCCAGGGTGGCTCCAGACAGGCGCAGCACTCACCGCAGTTTTGGGTACTCCTCGTTGAAGTCTCGGCTTTTTCGTGTCGTCCAGTCCCGGATTTTCAGCATTTTGATTACGATGTCATTGCCCTGCCAGCGCCCCTTCCACAGCTGGAGGAGCAGCAGGGACACAGGCACCGTGAAAGGGGTGCAGAGTCCCCAGCATACCCAGGCCCCCATGTGGGGCTCTGGAGCCCATGGGACCAAGGGCCCACAATGAGAAGGGAGCCCCTTGAGCTGGGTAGGAGCTCCCCCACTGCACCAGGCCATGGGACTCCAGAACAGTGGTGCCCAGCAGGGCCAGGACACGGCACTCTGCAAAGCCACAGCGCCCACCTGGGGTCGAGGGGCACCCACCTCTCCAGACTGGTTCTCGTTCAGTTTGTGACTCAGGCTCAGCTGTTTGAAGTCAATCCCGGCGAGTTTGTTCAGGGTCCCATTCCCTACAGTAGAAGGGAAATGAATACCCATGGCTACTGGATCCAGGAGGCAGTGCCAGCAGGGCAGGGGGATCCATGGCACCCCCTAAGGGACCCTCAGTCCTTACTGGGCCGGGTGCGGGTCGTGCCCTTCCAGAACGTGTCCTTGTAGGGGATCTTGGTGAGGCTCTGGCCCAGCTTCTCAGCACGCTCTGCAGAGACAGGAGGAGGGTGGCACACAGAGCCTGCTGCGACTGGCCAGAGGCTGTGTCAGTTATGGGGTCCTGAGGGACCCTCGTACCTTTCAGGACCTCTCGCAGTGGCATCTTGGCCTTGTCTGTGGGGGTCTCACCGTATTTGTTAGCAATGCTGACCAGGGCCCCGCTGCCCACCAGGTCCTGTGGAAGCAGACAGCAAGGACTGTGGTTTTTGATCTCCCCTCAGTCCCCCTTCCACCCACCTTCCCTCCTGCCCGTGCTCCCACTCACCTCAGCCACCTGCTCGTGTCCCCAGAAGCAGGCATAGTGCAGTGGTGTGTTCCCATGCTCATTCACTGCGTTGATGTCTGCTTTGAACTGCATCAGCTGGGGACAGGGGACAGTCCCTGTGAGCCCAGGACTGTCCCTTTAAGCCCAGGCAAGATCCCCGTGAGCCCAGGACAGCCCCCATCCTCCTTGTGCCTTGTCCTGGGAGATGCAGGGGCAGCACATTGGGAGCTGTAGGGTGGGTGCTGAACTGATGTGGGGCTCAGAGGGATTTGGAGGGAGCTTGTGAGGAGCAGGGAGCTCAGAAGCACTGGGGGCATGCCAGGTGTTCCTGACAGGTGATGAGGGGAGCAAGTCCCACGAGGGTAGTGTGGAAGGCTACACAGGGGTGGGGAAAGGACAGGTGCTAGCACAGGGGACAGGTACCTTCTGTACGATGTCACGGTGCCCGTGGCTGGCAGCCAGGTGCAGTGGGGTGTCATCGCCCCGGTTCATGACGTTGATGCGAGCCCCGCGCATGATGAGCATGTCCACCACATTTGAACGGCCCTCACGGCAGGCCCAGTGCAGGGGGCTGAACCCATGGTCATCCCTGCAGGATGTCAGGGGGGCTCTGCTCAGCTGCAGCCCTCTGTCCCAGGCATCACTGGCATCATTCTCAAAACTCCAGCCACAGGGGCAAAGGGACCAGGTTGAATATCCATCCCACTCCCACCCGCCCCCACCAGGGCCCCACCAGCCCAGGCCAAATCCTGTCTCCTCCAAGGCTGAATCACAGCTGGATCCTGTCCCCATCCCCCCACTCCATGACCAAGTAAGGGAGGAGGTGGCAGCCAGGCCTTAAATGGAGATCAGGAACTGGCAGAGGGGCTGCTGCAGCCCAGGCTCCCCCCAGTCCCAGCTCCCCTCCGGCCCCCTGGCACAGCAGGACTCCATTTGTCCCCACCATGGCTCTGCAGGCAGGGGCTACCCGGCACAGAACGGTCCCTTGGGCACCTTGTGTGGGTCTGGGAGAGCTCCATGTGCCTGGGACCCCCAGGAGGGGCAGGGAGGCACGACCAAGGGAGGCCGTTTGTCTGGAGCATGTCTGCAATGCCATGTCCATGGCTGGGCTGGGGTCATGGTATGGGGTCATGCTGTGCCAGCTGCACACACTGCAGGCAGATCCTCCAAGCCCCCAACACGGCTCCTGAACAGCTGTGAGCACATGTTGGACCCCACAGTCCTGCAAGACCCCTGGAACGGGATGTGGGGAGCGGACACCTGGGCACAGAGCGGCCCCCACAATTCCCAGCCCCAGCGGTTCCAGCCGTGTGCCCACACATCTGCCACGGTGCTCCGCAGAGAGGGGGTGGGGACACGAGGATAAGGTCAGTGGACACAGCTGCCACCGTGGGGACAGGGGAGGTACCCCAGCCCAGCTGAGCCCTGGCTGTGGCTGTGGCTGCGAGGAAGCGGCCAGAGGATGTTCGGCCTCGTGCCTCAGCGATGCGGTAACTTCCTCCAGTGGGGAGGAGCTGTGTCCTGCCGTCTGCCCCCTGCCTTTCCATGGAAACCCGTGGAAACCAGCCCCCAGCACAGGCCCCCCCCCGCCCCGCCCAGCCCAACCCCACTCACCCCTGGTTGAGGTCGTTCTCGGTGTTGTCCAGCCACAGCCGCACGGCCACCGCGTTGCCCTCCCGGCATTGTGTGAAGATGTCGTCCATGGCGGCTGCGGGAGGGGACGTGGGTAAGGACATGGGGACCCCTGACCCCCCCTCGGCTGGGAGGTCCCTGAAACAGCAAGCAGGGGAACCTCCTGGCCCCCTCCTTGTCCCCTCCCGCCCCATCCCTGCAGCTCTCCAGGAAGCCGCAGGCAGGCTGAGGTCCGGGCTGGGGCTGGACCGGCAGCCCGAGGGAAAGATCCGGCGGGGCCGTGGCCACCCACAGGAAGCCAGGCTGGCACCCCCGGGCTTATCACCAGGCACAGCCGGCCCCAGTGCCCACAGCTCTGGGGTACAGTGAGGCTGGGGGAGCTCAGCACCCTCAAGATGGGATCCCACAGATTTGGTGGGGGAATGGGGCTGGGGTAGCTCAGCATCCCTGGCATGGGATCCTGCAGCCCCATGACCCTCCTGACCCACTTGGCTGGGCCTGGCATGGCACCATGCTCAGAAACCAGGACCCCAAAGCCTCATGCTTTGGATCCATGGACACCCCAGTTCAGAGCCAGGCATAGAGCTTCCTCCTGCTCCCCATGTCCCTCTAAGCCCCTGACTGTGAGCGTGGGACCCGCTGCCTGGAGGTTTGTGATGTGAGCAGGGACCTGAAGTCTTACAGTGTGAGGACAGAGTCAGATTGAATACATGCCTGACATGCACCCATCTGATCCCAAACCTGCTGCTGGAAGATCCCCCTGGACCTGATGCCCACCCGGACACAGTGAGACCCCCACCAGTTGCCAGCACCTAGAGCTGCCCCCCAGGACCCTGCCTGCACCCCTTGCCTCAGACAGCTCCAGAGGGGTGGGATGCAGGACCCTGGATTCTTGGCACGGTCTCATAGGCCCCAGAATGGCCCCAGCACATCCATGGCAGCATTGGCCCTTTCCCGGCACTAGAACATCCACACTCCCAGATGAGATTTATCCCCCACCCATCTGGGGGCAGCTCATGAAAAGGGGTCCCCAGTACGTGTCACACCAGTCCCGGCCCTGTGGGACCTCACACCGCAGTGATGACACCCCATCCTGGTCCCACCCTGTCCCCTGTTCAGCCCTGAACTGTGCCCTCCTATCACCCACCAGCCCCTACCCAGTCCCGCGGGGCTGCCAGGACCGACCAGCCCCAGCCCTGCCAGGCTGGCCAAATGCCCACCTCGGCCCTGCTCAGCACCCGGGGCAGGGGACGGGATGTGGACGCAGTACCCCCGTGCTACCCCGAACCAGCTGCTAGAGCCCCGCTCCGCACTGCGGCCCCATCCGCGCCCCCAGTCCCCCCGTGTATCCCCAACCCCCCCGGTACTCCCAATCCCTCCTTTGTGCCCCCCACCCCTCCCCTGCAGCTCCCCCACCCAGCTCCGGCTCTGGCAGGTCTCCCTCCGGCCCCGCCCCCGCTTCGGGTCGCCTGCAGCCGCACTCACGGCCTCCCCAGCCTGTCCCCGCTCGGTGCCGGTGCCGTCCCGCCGTTACCGGCTGCGTGTCCCGGCGGCTCCGCAGGGCGGCGGCTGCGGCGGCTCCGCCCCGAGACGGCGCCCTCTGGCGGCCGGAACCCGCACCGGCCGCGGCTCCGCCACACGGCGGCGGGCGGGGCAGGGCGGGGCGGCGCCGGGAACGCGGGCCAGCGGAGCGGAGGCGCGGTTGTGGGGCGTGCCAAATTGACCGGGGGCGCGGCTATCCGGCCGGGGGCGGAGCGGGGCGTCCGCGGCACCGCCCGTGCAGCCGAGGTCCCCGGCCGGTCCTCCGGGCCGCGAGGAGGGGCTGTTCCCGCGGCGCTTCCCGGGCGGGAGCACGTGGGTCCCGGTACCGACCGAGGGCTCCCGCTCCATGTTCGCGGAGCAGGGTTGGAACGATGCAGCAGAGCCGCCGGCCCGCGGCGCCCCGGCCGGCCTGGGCCGACCGGTAAGCGGGTGATGCGGGGGCGCCGGGCCGGGCCGGGCCGGGCGTGCCGAAGTTACCGGCCCCCACTCTCCACAGGGCCCCACGAGGGGAAAGAGGCGGCTGCCCGGGACCGGTCGGGACAGCGAGGCGGCGCGGAAGCGGCCCCGGAAGCGGAAGAAGGCCGGCGGACTGCGGGCCGCGGCGGGGGAGCTCCCGGCCCGTCCCGACGAGCCCCGGGAGGTCGGGAAGCGGCCGGACACAGGTACCGGGACGGCTCCAGGGTCCCTGAGGCAGGAGGGAGCCGCCTCCGCGCCCTGACTCCCCTCTCGATGCCCTCAGACGGCCCGGCTGAGCCGGCGGAGGAGTCCGAGAAGCCGGCGGGGCTGAGCCGTAGGCAGCGGCGGAACCGGCAGAAGCGGCAGCGGCAGCAGGAGCCGCCGGCGGGGTCGGATGGGGAGCAGGGCTCAGGGCCGGGCCCCCCGGACCCGCCGGGCTCCGCGGAGGCTGCTCCGGAGCCCCGCTCGGGCCGCTCGGCTGCGCTCCGCGCCCGAATGGAGGAGCGGCTGCTCGGCGCCCGGTTCCGCTATCTGAACCAGCAGCTCTACACCGGGAGCAGCCGGGACGCGGCGCGGCTCTTCCGCGCCGACCCTGCCGCTTTCCACCTGTACCACCGGGGCTTCGAGCGGCAGGTGCGGCGCTGGCCCGAGCGCCCCGTGCAGCGCATCGTGCGCTACCTGCGCCGCCGGTGAGCGGGAGGGCGAGGCACGAGGGGGAACATGGACCGCGGGGGCCGGTGAGCGGGGGCAGGCTGAACGGAGAGCCGGGGGATGGACTGAGGAGGCGCTGGGGGACGGGGGGCCAAAGGATGACCGGGGGGCCATGAGCAGTGGGGGCCGGTGGATGACCGGGGGACCGGTGACTGGGGAAGGGGCAAGGCGCCGGGCCGGGCCGCTCTGACCCCGCTATGCCTGCCCCAGGCCAGCGTCGCTAGTGGTGGCGGATTTCGGGTGCGGGGACTGCACGCTGGCTGCCAGTGTCAGGAATCAGGTGCACTGCTTCGATCTGGTGCCGCTGAGCCCGCGGGTCACCGTCTGTGACATGGCCAAGGTACTGGGGGCACCCCCGGGGCGGGGAGCGGGTGCTGCTGGGCAGGCCGCAGGGGTGCGGGTGTGGGGACAGTGACCCCGGTGTGTCTGTTCAAAAGCTGGGTGTGTGCCTGGGGCACGGCTGAACCCACGAGCCTGGGAAAGTGGGGGGTGCACTGCCCAGCCCTATCAACATCACCATCCTCCTTCTCCTGCTCCTGGGGATATGCAGAGCAGCTTCCAGGCCAAGCCATCATCGTCCTTCTCTGGGGGTGTCCCGGGGTGAGCAGGTGCCACTGGCGGCTGAGTCGGTGGACGTGGCCGTGTTCTGCCTGGCGCTGATGGGCACCAACCTGCAGGAGATCTTAGGAGAGGCCAACCGTGTGCTCAAGCTCGGGTAGGCAGAGGCTGTGGGGGATTGGGGGAGAAGCAGGGATGCTGAGCAGAGTCCTGGGGGTGCCTGGGCACCCTGCTCAGAGCTCAAGTGACCGCAGGGGGACCCTGATGGTGGCTGAGGTGGCCAGCCGCTTTGAGGACACCCATGCTTTCCTGAAGGCCATGACGCAGCTGGGCTTCAGGACTGTCTCCAAGGTGTGTCTCCAGGTGTGCCTAGGGCTGGGCACAGGAACCAGGGAGCCCAAGGAGGGGGTGTATTGAGGCCCAGCCTGGTGTGGAACAAACCAGGGGCTGGTGAAAGTAGATGGAGGTAGAAGGGATTGGTGCATGGGGGACTGCAAATGGGATAACGGGGGGACCAGTACACAGAGGGGTGAAGCTTGGAGGTCCTGGGGACCGTGGGAGTGTGCTGTGGCAGTTTGGGATGTGGGTTGGATGGGGTGCTGGGATCAGGGAGGGGATGAGGGGGGCCTGGAGCACACTGGGCTTGTAGTGTGGGGCTTGGAGGCGGGTGTGTATCCCGGGGGGGATTGGGAGTCCTGGGGCTTGGAAGAATTGTGTGATGATGATGGGTGTCGGGTGTTTAGAGAAGTATGCTAGGGGCTGGGGTACACAGGCCCCACAAGGGCTTTGGAGTCTGGGGGCAAGAGGGCCCTGAGCACAGTGGGTTCTGGAAGGAGGCAGGGGGGGATCCCGGGGTTCTCTGAGGCGGTATCGAGTGGTGCTGGAGCGGGCTGCGGTGATGATGGAGCTCTGGCGTGCCGGTAATAGAGTCGGGTGTCCCCGCGCTCCCAGGACCTCTCCAGCTCCTACTTCTACCTGTTGGAGTTCGCCAAGAAGGGTCCGGCCCGGCCCGGCCCCGCTCCCGGACTGCGCCTGCGGCCGTGTCTGTACAAGCGGCGGTGACCGGAGCGGCGGTGACCGGAGCGGCGGTGACGGGCCCGGCCCCGCTCCCGGGCTGCGCCTGCGGCCGTATCTGTACAAGCGGCGGTGACGGCCCCGGCCCCGCTCCCGGGCTGCGCCTGCGGCCGTGTCTGTACAAGCGGCGGTGACCGGAGCTGCGGGCCCGGGCCGCGGGTGGGGGCGGGGACACGGGCTTGGCCCCGCCCCCAGCGCAACCACCAATAAAGCCGCGGCTTCCTCCCAGCTCTGCGTGCGCGTGTGGGGGCGGGGCCGCGCCTGCGCGCTGCTGTCAGGCCTGCGCGGCGGCAGCGCCCGGGACCGGTACCGGGATGTCGGGGCCGGGCGGGCCGGGCCCCGCCGGGGCCAAGCTCGACATCAACCGCGCCGGCGTGGCCGAGCTGGAGGGTGCCCTCAGCGGCATTGGCCGCCGCCGTGCCCGCGGCATCGTCCGCAAGAGAGAGGTGCGGGGAGGGAGGGGATTGGGGGGGGGAAGCGGCGGGGACGGCACCCCGCGCTGAGCGGCCCGGGCCCCCGAGGGGAAGGCCGTGGCGGTCACGGGGTGGGTGCCGCGGGGCGAGTGCGGGGGCGACGGTGCTGTTTCCGTCCTGGTAGCCGGGGTAGGTGGGGCTGGCCCAAGATCCGCGAGTCCCGCCCCGAGCCCGCGGGACCGGACGGGCGCAGCTGCCCCCGCTGCTGCCGGGCCCGAGCAGGGAACCGGGGGGAATGCAGGTTCTGGCGGGACCGGACGGGTACCGCTCCCCGACCGCCTCCGAACGCCGTCATCGGCGATGGTGGGACGAGACCTTGCGGCGACCGGTGACATGGCCGGGAGCGGTGGGAGCGGCACCGCGGGCCCGGGAGCGGGCGGGTCAGCTGCAGCCGTGCCCTGATGGTACAGAGATGGGCGAGGCAGGGCTGGGAGCGCTTGGCATGTTCGGGGCTGGGAAAGGAGGTAGAGGAGTGGATGTCCAAATGCTGTGGACACATATGCTGGAAACACCGGGAGGTGGGAGGGCAGAAACCGGTAATGCAAAGGGAGGGTGGTCTGGAGCAGGGTCTGTCCCGGGGCGGTGCTGCTATTGCAGCCCCTTGCGGGGAGCAGCAGCAGAGCCATAAAACGAACTCTGCCGGGTTAGAAGGGCCAGTCGGGCCGTTCCCGGCCCCTTGAGCTGCGCTGGTTGTCCGCCGAGTCTTGCCTGGGGACAGCCCCTCCCCGCCGGGTTCCTCCCACGGCGGGTGCTCCGGGAGCCCGTGCAGGGCGATGGGAGGCACCTGATCCCAGGTCGGGGCTGGGCAGTGCTCGGCCCGAGGTCCCGCGGGACAGCGGGTGCCTTGCACATGCGTGTGTCTGCATGTGTCCAGTTGTTCCCCTGCCCTGGAGCTGCAGCTTTGCTCCCCATCCTGGCACTGTTTATCTGGGGGGCACAGTGCTCCTGCCCCAGCTGGCAGTTTTGGGTTGCTGCCCCTCTTTCACAGCGCTGTGACTCTTCCCTGTGGGGCCTCTCGGGCAGGGGTCTTTGTGGGAGCAGAAGGGATTCTGTTCTGGGCAGGGCTGACTTCCCTCCGTGCAGGAGCTGAAGGGCTTCACTTGTTTGGATGACCTGCTGCATGTCAAGGGCATTACCACACGCATCCTGGAGCTCAACAGCCAGCGCATGACGTGCCGGCGGTGCCCGCGCCCTGAGGGGCCCCCACGGGCCAGCCCCACTCCCTTGGGAGACAGTGAGGACCACAGGGCACCTGCAGCACAGGTAGGTGCAGAAGGGTCCCTGCGCCAGGTACGAGGACAAGGGAGATGGTCTGACTCTGGGGGGGCTCAGGGGAAACTCATGGTGGGCAGACAGAGCTGTACCGGATTCTGGAGGAGCTCGTGGTTGTGGGTCTGGGGTCATTCTTCACCATGAAACCCCCCACAGTGCTGTTGAGGGGAGCCCCTGTGCTCCAGGGCCATGGCTCTCACTGGCAGCCATCCAGCAGCACTCCCAGCCCCTGACCTGCTCCTGGTCTCCAGCAGCCCAAGGCTGGTGTAGAGTCAGCCCTGCTCCCTGCGTCTTCCCTACTCAGGTGGTGGCTGAAGAGGAGGAAGAGGAGGAGGAGGAAGCACCAGGCCCCTGGGAGCCAGAGCACCCCTGGAAGGGTCCCCCCAGGTCCAGAGCAGACCCTGATGGTTCTGGGGGGCGGGGACCACAGGAGCCCCCCAGGTCCACCAGGGAGCGGGAGGAGGAGGAGGAAGAGGAGGAGGAAGAGGAGGAGGAGGAGGAGGAGGAGGAGGAGGAGGAGGAGGAGGAGGAGGAGGAGGAGGAGGAGGAGGAAGGGAGCTGCTGCAGCGAGGAAGGGGAAGACAGCAGCAATGTATACCTGTACTACACCCTGGGAGAGCGCTGGATCGACTACCTGCAGCGCACTGGGGATGGGGGGCTGCTGCGGCACCTGCGCCCCAAGGTGACTGGGGGACCAGGGACTGCTGAGGCACTTTGGGCACCTGGAGAAGGGTGAACAGGGGCCTGGGGGGTTCTGTGACCCCAGCTGCTGGGGCTGGGGAAAGATGCTGCCCCAGTCCCCCATGCAGACTCCTGCCATGCATGGGGGTCCTTGGTCACAGCGTGGGAGAAGGTGGTGCTACCCCAGTCTACCCCAGCCCCCAGCTGTGTCTGGCCCTGATGCAGCCCCACCCTGCCCTGCGTGGGTGTCCCTCGTCATGTGGACCCTGAGGGGAGAAAGCAGGAACAGGTGGGGGTCTGCCCCATAGCTCTGGGCAGGGGGCCCACAGGGGTTGGTTCTGGGTGGGTGACATGTAGGGGTCCACAAGGATCAGCTGTGGGCAGGGGGTCTGCCGGGTCTGCCTGGGTTTGTCCCAGCCCCTCCAATCTGCTGTGTCCCACAGATGAAGCGGAAGTCAGAGAATGGGCCAGATGGCCGGGCCTTGTCCCCTGGGAAGAAGCTGTGCAAGGGCTCTGAGTATGGCAGGGGAGGGGTAGGGGGGGCTCTGAGTGCAGCTGGTGAAGGCTGTTCTGTGTGCTGGGGCAACACATACCTCCCACTGCCCTCCCCAGGAGGATGATTGAGCCACTTGGGTCAAGCAGGGGTTGGCCCAGGTGAGATGCAGCCCTGACTAGCTGCCTGTCTGCTCAGCAGTCTGGGCTGGATGTCTGGGCAGGAGTCCACAGGGTGGGAGCAAAGAGGTCAGTGGAATGGCGCTCCCACAGGCAGGAACTAGTTCTAAGAGCCTCTGGCACAGTGTGGCCCACAGCAGTGCTGGCATGTGCCACCTGTGCCATGGCCTTACCTGTGCCTGGTCCTTCTCCCAGGACACTGGGTCCCTGTACACCCAGCCCCACGACCACCTTTGGGGACCTGCGCAATGCCAAGGTGGGGCAGGCCCGGCGCCGTCGCATCCCCTCAGTGGCCCCCCCACCTGAGCTACAGGACTGGCTCCGCACCTTCCAGGTATGGCTCACCTGGCGGCTTCAGGCAGCCTGGGTGTGATGGGAGGGAGCCAAGCTTATGGGATCCCCACTAAGGGGAGGGGTTGGGCCCATGGTAGATTTTGGGTAGTTTTGCTTGTGTGAGGAAACACAGAGGAGGTTTCAGCCCTGGCCAGGTGTAGTGTCACCTATCACACAGCACCTGTGACCCACCAAGCTCCCACCTGCCTCAGGCTCCTGGCCTGGGGCCAGAGGCCTGGCTGCCAGGGCTGTGGCTGGGCTAGCTGGGGACATAGAGCCGGAGGTCACTGGGGGTTCCCCTGCAGCGCTGGAGCGGCCCTGAGAAGCTGCTGGCCCTGGATGAGCTCATTGACCGCTGCGAGCCGGCGCAGATCAAGTACATGATGCAGGTCATTGAGCCCCAGTTCCAGCGGGACTTCATCTCCCTGCTGCCCAAGGAGGTGAGTGAGGATGGGGGACCAGAGGCCTGGCCTGGCCTGACCTGACCCGACCCAACCCCCGCCCCGGTGAACCCTGTGTGATCTTTATTCCCCCCATAGCTGGCCCTGTACGTCTTGTCTTTCCTGGAGCCACGGGACCTGCTCCGTGCTGCCCAGACTTGCCGCTACTGGAGGGTCCTGGCTGAGGACAATCTGCTCTGGAGGGAAAAGTGCCGTGAGGAAGGTGAGGGTCCTCCCAGGTTGAGACTGGGGAGCCACCCCAGCTTGACCCAGGTGAGGCATTGCTGTGTTGTCCCCTGCAGGGATCGAGGAGCCCCTACACCTGCGGAAGCGACGCCTGCTTAGCCCCGGATTCATGTACAGCCCCTGGAAATTTGCCTTCCTGCGCCAGCACCGCATCGACATGAACTGGCGTAGTGGGGAGCTGCGGCCCCCCAAGGTAGGCCTGGGTGTCCCAGTGTAGACAGGCTCCGGGGAACTGTGGTCCCCAAGGTGAGCCTGGGAGTGTCCCTGCCAGGGGAAGACCCTAGAGAGTTGAGGGGCTGGTGTGGGTGTCCCCACTGCAGACAGGCCCCAGGTCACTGGTATGGGGAAGCTGGTGCAGGATCTGTGACAGAGAGCAGATCTGGCTTGTTCAGAGCAGTGCAGGCAGCACAAATGAGGTCTCCTGGGCCTGGAGAAGGGAGTCCCTTCCTTTGCCCCTCTCCAAGGTCCTATGCAGGGCCGCAGCCAGCCCCAGCACCCAGGGCTCAACTGTGTTCTGTGCAGGGTCCCAGAACCCTGGTGATCTGTCCCTGGGGGTCCCTCCTGCCCCTGGGCAGAGTCCCCACCACCCTGTCTCTTGGTGCTTTAGGTCCTGGGTTCCTGAGCCCCCCCACTCCCTGTTCTCCTGTAACCCCTGCCCCTGTGCAGCTGCTGCTAAACACCACACACCCCAGCTCTGCTGCCCTGCAGAAGCATCAGGGGGTGCAGGTGATTTGGAGACCCGTCTGCCTTTCTTCCCCACAGCTCCTGCTGCCTTCCCACTGCTCATTGTGTTGGGGGGTCCTGGTGGCTGGGGGGGGGTGCACACTGCCCCCCACACACTCCTGTGCTCCCACAGGTACTGAAGGGCCACGATGACCATGTGATCACTTGCCTGCAGTTCTGCGGCAATCGCATAGTAAGCGGCTCTGATGACAACACGCTTAAAGTGTGGTCAGCTGTCACAGGGGAGGTGAGTGTCACTGTCACCAGGGTGCCACTGTCACCAGAGTGTGGCACTGTCATTGGCACTGCAGGGGTTTGGGACAGGGACCATCTCGCTGTGCTGTGCATAGGCAAGGCCACACCCTGACGCCTGGGGCCCGGTATGATAAGGACATGGAGTTGTGCTGCTCCTCTGTGCTGTTTGGGGCGGGGTGGGAGGTGTGAGAGGCTCACCTGTCCCTCGTGTCCTGTTCCCCACAGTGTGTGCAGACGCTGGTGGGCCACACGGGGGGGGTTTGGTCCTCCCAGATGAGGGACAGTGTTGTCATCAGTGGCTCCACTGACCGCACACTCAAGGTGTGGAACGCTGACAGCGGCGAGTGTGTGCACACGCTGTACGGACACACCTCTACCGTGCGCTGCATGCACCTGCACGGCAACAGGTATGGGGCTGACAGCTGCTGTGTGAGAGGGGGATATCTGCAGGGGGTGAGGCTGGTTACCCCCAGGCTGCCTTGGCAGCTGGGCCCCAGGTGTCCCCTCACCTGCAGGGTGGTGAGTGGCTCCCGGGATGCCACACTGCGGCTCTGGGACATCGAGACAGGGCAGTGCCTGCACGTGCTGATGGGCCACGTGGCAGCCGTACGCTGCGTCCAGTATGATGGCAACAAAGTGGTCAGTGGTGCCTATGACTACACGGTCAAGGTGTGGGACCCTGAGAGCGAGAGCTGCACCCACACGCTGCAGGGGCACACCAACCGTGTCTACTCACTGCAGGTATGGCCCCGCACACATTCCCTCCTGCTCCTTCCCCCTCTATAGCTCCCCTGCCCTCCCTGCGGGTACAACCTCACAGGTACAACCTGCCCTCCTGCTGGCTTGCCCTGTCACACCCCTGCCTTCCAGTCATGGGGCACAAGCTGTGCCAAAGGTCCCACGTGTGCTGTAGGTACAAATGGGCTGTGCTTGTGTCATGCAAGGCCCTGTGTGCTTTGCAGGGACGTGTGGGTCATGTCTGTGCCCTGAAGGAATGTATCTGCCTTGCAAGGACATATGGACCATGTATGTGTCCTCCTGTGGGGACAGCCTCTGCCCCCCCGCACCCACTTCCCAAACACACATGCTGTGGACACAAACACTACTCCATGCCCCTTCCCTGGAGCATTTCTACAGCCCAAAAAGCCAAGAGCTGTGTGAGCCTGTGTCTCAGCTGCTGAGCCTGGGGTCTGCGGTGGTGGTGCTGAAACTGGGAGTGCTGTATCCAAAACCAGGGAATGCCAGAGATGTGGCCTGCACCCCAAACCAGGGGACACTCCTGTCCTCGATGCTGAGCTGGACCCGTTCTTTCTGGCAGTTTGATGGGACACACATCGTTAGTGGGTCCCTGGACACATCGATCCGCGTGTGGGATGTGGAGAGTGGGAACTGTCTGCACACACTCATGGGACACCAGTCACTCACCAGCGGGATGGAGCTGCGCGACAACATCCTCGTGTCCGGCAACGCCGACTCTACTGTCAAGATCTGGGACATCAAGACAGGGCAGTGCCTGCAGACCCTGCAGGGTGAGAGGGGATTCCTCACGCTTGGGGGGCAGTGGGGAGTTCCCTCCATCAGGTAGCTCCTCTCCCTTGGAGGGGTGGGAGGCAGCAGGGAGGGCTCCCTGCCCTTGGGGCTGGGTTGGCTTTAAGCTGCCAGATGTGTCTGGACCGAGTGCCTCCTCCCTGAGGAGCCAGCACGGGGTGGCTCTGAGCTGCCAGATATGGCAGATCCCATGTCACACAGCAGTAGGTGCCTCAGCTGCACCTGAGGCTCACTGGTGTCTCCCCGTAGGTCCCAGCAAGCACCAGAGTGCTGTCACCTGCCTACAGTTCAGCTCCAAGTTCGTGGTGACCAGCTCTGATGACGGGACAGTGAAGCTGTGGGACCTGAAGACAGGGGAGTTTGTGCGAAACCTCGTGGCCCTGGAGAGTGGGGGCTCTGGGGGAGTCGTGTGGCGCATCCGTGCCTCCAACACAAAGCTGGTGTGCGCCGTGGGCAGCCGCAATGGCACTGAGGAGACCAAGCTGCTGGTGCTGGACTTCGATGTGGACCTTAAGTGACCCCGGCCAGCCCGGGGGTCCCGCGGGAGGGGTGGCCCCGGCGCAGGCGCTGGCCCCCGCGGGCAGGACAAGAGGGAGGGCTGGGCCTTATTTATATGCGCGGGAGTGCCTGGCTGGGCCTGCAGGAGCATGTTTTGTACACGGAATATATCAATTTATTTCTGTACTGGGGCTAGTCCTTACCTAAGCCCTGTCCTGGGCCCGCAGCTAAACGCCCTCTGCCCAGGGGCTGCAGTGGGAAGAGGCCAGGCTCTCCCAGGTGTCACAGGGACCATGTACACTGCCCTTAGCTGATGGGCACTGGCCTGGCAGCACCTGCCCCCTCACAGCCCCACAGTGTCCTGGTGATCATGGGGGTCCTGCAGGGTGATGTTTGTCTCACATTTGGGTGCAAGTCCCTGGAGTCCCAGTTGTGCCGTGGGCTTCCCCCAGCACACCCAACAGGGGCCAGGGCTGTGGTGCCCTCCCATGCTAAGCCATTACTGTAAAGATGTTTTATTGGGACTAACAATGCCCTTCCCATAAATCCACAACCACGAGGGCTGGGGGGGCTTTCCCCCACTCCTGTGCCCCCCATCCCCGGTGCCCTGCATAGCCCAGCCAGGGCTAGGGGCTCCCGGGGCCACGTGCAGATGCCTCTCCAGCCTGGAGCTCCAGCGCAGCAAGGATGCAGCTGCTCCTGCTGCTACAGGGCAGGGGCGGTGCCGGTCGCGTCCGGGAGAGCTGTGGCCAGGTGCTGCTATGTGCCGGCAACGGGAGCGTCTGGCGAGGACCCCGCGGGGCCCGGGGCCGGGTCAGGGGAGGCCGGGAGTCCGGATGGCCCCGCTGCTGCTTCATGCTCGGCTGCGCGGCGCTGCAGCAGTGCCGGCATCAGCCCCACGTAGGCGCCCATCAGGCGGTGGTTGGCTCGGACCAGCCTCGCGGCGCAGCTCTCCAGGCACGACTCCTGCGGGAGGGACGGCGTGGGGTCAGGGGCTGCGGGTGTGCCCGAGCCGCGGCCCCCCGTGCCCCGCTCACCTCGCGGCCCGTGAGCAGCCGGTAGTTGAGGTTGCAGACACAATGGCGGAAGCAGAGCTCGGTCATACGGTTGTAGACCAGCAGGAAGTCCCGCAGCTGGGGAGCAGGCGCGGGTCACGCCGAGAGGAGCCGGTCCGGGACCCCCGAAACCCACCGGGAGTGCCCCGGAATGCCCCCGGCCAGCCCGAGGCGCCCGGATCCCTCTCAAGACCTACCGGTTCTCCTGCGAACCCGGGACCTCGAGATCCCACACCCGGAGCCCTCGGGACACACCGGGACCCGCCACTAAACCGACAGCCCCGGGACCATTGACGCGTTCACCCCGCTCCCCACCCCCAGCCCAAGCGCTCACGCTGCGGAGCTGCTGCCGGTGCTCGGCCGCCGGGTCCATCCCGGGCCCGCGCCCGCTCCCTCCGCGCTCGGCGGGACCACACGCCGGGCTCGCAGCGACGTCACTTCCGCCCGGCTCAGCGATTACGCCACTTCCGGGCCACTGACGCCACTTTCGCCGCGTCCGGGCCGAGGCGGAGCGGGAGCGGCGCGGGGGGGCCCGGCGGGGCCGGGGCGCAGGTGGGGCCGGGCGCGGACCGGGGAGGCTGGACGGGGTGAGCGCCCACGGGGCCGGTGGAGTCCGGCTGGGAGAGCCCCGAGAGCGAGGCTGAGGCCGCCGCCCCCCCCCCCCCCGCCTGGCCCCCCCAGGGGCCGGCC